AATAAATGTGCCAAGGTAATAAAACTTTTACCTTTACAACCACTTTGAGCTTAGTTAGGTTTTTGACTTGCCTTCCACAATGGCTGCTGGAGTTTTCCTTATATAGGCCTATATATAATCATATTTGTCTTCAAAACACTACTTGATACAGTATATTTCATTTCTTCATGCTTTTAGTCCCTCGCTGTATAAATTATCTATAGATTCTTATTGTAACACATTTATAGGACTTTTGTACCACTTTTAACTAGCAAAATGTGAGTTTTCTTCAGCTCCGTCCATTTAAAATTGCTTACTACATAAGGTTTATAGAGGTTACAGAGTAGTATAGTTTCAGTGACTACATATATTAAATTATTAATAATTAAAATAATTTTTGATAAAAGTTAATTTTTTTTTCCATTTTCGTGTTTTATTTAACCTCCCTGGTGGTATGATTATTTCAGATTTTTGGTGCTGAAAGTGGTACCATTATTTTGCATGGAAATATGTAGTTTTTTTATTGTAGGCCTGCCATTTTTAGGAATAACTCACTGAATTCTGTCCGAAACAAGAGTCTAGTAAACATTCCGGATATGATAAAACTTGAAACACGAAATCATAAATTATAATTTAATAAATAATCATAAAAAATAATATAAATTGAATTCAATAATATATTCAAACCAAAAACACTGAAATTTGAAATATAGCGCCAAGTTCGCACATCGCTGAACAAAGTCGCAGAATCGTTTTCAGTGTCTGATGACGAATTTCCCCACAAATCATCACTCAATTCTGCAAGTGGTTCTGATTTACTATTGCTGTTCTCTAGCTAGTCTAAAACCGATTTTGACCTAAAGGGACGCTTTTTGGACGCCATGGACTTTTCCCAGTTTCCAGGCAGAAAGAACCGTCAAAATGCAGGCAGGGCACAGGACAAAGCACTAGGGACAAAATGTATGTGAAATGCTTTGAAACAGTAATGTTTTACTATGTAATAATCGTATTTAAAAAAATTAAATTTTTTAAAAAATTTCAAATTTGCCGCCGGTTCTGGCGCCCGTACGTCACAGGGACAGAAACATGGAAGTTGGATGCCGGCATCGGTCGGAGGAGATGGCCGGGGACGCTGCAGGGGACACATCGCGGGAGCGAAGGACAAGGTAAGCCCTGCAGGGAATCCCTGAGCAACGCCGCATGGTAAGCCAAAGTGTAGCTCGGGGTTACCGCTTGTGGTACTGAAACTTTACCCCGAGCTACACTCAGGAATACCGCTAGGGAGGTTAATCAAATGAATTGTAGATTAGCGACTAGAATGAGCAAATAGTTTTATTTTCCCAGCCTCCTTTCTTCTTAGCGTTTGAGCAAAGGTATCAGACATACAGGATTGCATTGTCTTCAATGAGTACCTGACTTATCGTGCGAAATAGTAGTAGTAAAGCACAACCACTGTGTAGCCTGTGTACACATTAAGCAAATATGGCATTGCCTGTGTATGTATATAATTTTAAAAGTATACATCTAAACAAGAATTTTAATATTAATCCAAGTTGATACATTTATATCATGCTGTTCCTTTTTACAAATCATTTACACATTGATAATGCTATTTACATCAATAAAACTATTCTACAATTCTTTAAAACTACTGAATGAGTGTTACCTGCATAGTAGTGTAGAATAGACCTGCATGCAGAAGAAATGGAAGAGAAATTAGAGAAAAGGAAGATAAACTGCAGTACTGGTAACTAAAAGCTTGTTTTCTGTTCATTATGTTTGTTCACTAGTATGTTGCAACTACTCGGCAATGGTCATGTTTATGTATCTTAATTTTGCAATGCAGGAGACGGGCATCTTTCTTACACCATGGGTTATAGGCTCGCACCTTCAGGACACTTGTAAGCTTTTGAGCTTACGTGCTTTGGGCGCATCCCCTATAACCCTTTTCTAGTCAGTTTTTGCTAGTGTCTGTAGGTGATGGACCTCTCCTCCTTCCTGGAGAAATCCGCTTCACTAGTTTTATTATTTTTCTTTATGATTTTCTTAAGAATTCTTCAATAAACTTCACTTTATCTAGAGCTCTCAAAAACACCCTGCCTCTTTTCTCACTCCTGTTTCTCAACCAGCGTCGAATCATAATATACGAATTCCTAGACGACGCTGAATCAGAAGGGAGTTCAGCGGAAAATCCATAAACACTATGTATAAAGGAGGGCACACCAGCCTTGTGCATTAACTATTCCTGAAAGTTTAAGTAGGTAATATACTCACAAACGATAATGAACAACAACCTCATTGCAAATTGTCAAAAGAACGTCCAGATATTGTGCACATACCTCCAGATAGACTGGAAATATGTCAGAGTTTCAGGTGCTGACGTGTTTCGAGGGTACCTCTTTTTCATCAGAACTAATTGGTGTCTCAGTTAATGTACAGGGCTTGTGCTCCCTCTTTTGCACGTTTTTTTTATGGACTCCCCAGCCTGAGAAGGGCAGCAAGGCAAAGTGATTTGAGAAGGCTGAGATATGGTCCCTGTACTTCAGATACCAAGATTTTAATGCGTATCATCCTAGAAGAGTGGTACCATATCGGAGCGTGGAAGGTATATAATATATTGGATTTCAGAGTGTACTGAGGCAGTGTTGAAAATAGCAGTAAAAATTTCCTGTCCCCCAGACTCACTATTTTGAAGATGAAATTCACAAAACATGCTTGCTAATGTTGAAAAGCTTATTTCGGCTGTCTGCGAAATCCTTGGCATTTTGCAGATTAACCCGCCAAGCGCCAGTGGGCACAAAGAAACCTAAAAAGACTTGCAAAACAGTCCCTGTGCAGGAACAGATTTAATGGGTGATCTAAACAAATATCTCACTGAATATGTTCCATCTTTTAAAAATCCAGCTGACAAAATTTGAAAGCTTTCTTTAACCTGGCAGACTCAGCCCAGCAATCAGCTCTTGCTGCTATTTCTGTATTTCAAATGGTAGCTAACTGGACAAGAACAATGTACAACCATGACATTTTTCAGAATCATTTGGTTGCAGAGCAAATACAGCTTCCCTTTGCTTTAATTTTTGTCTAGATGCTCTAGAATACATGAGACAAAAATCCAAAATGGCTCCAATTCTTGTTCTAAATCTCCGTTCATATGCATAGAATCCTAAAGTCTTGGACAACAGAAACTTCCCTTAAGAAAAGCATATGTCACACGTGAGAGAGCTTTTGTTTTTTTTTTTATATTCAGAGAAAAGTGCCAGCTCCCTCAAACCCCCCCTCCCACCAGGAGATTCTAGCTCCTCTAAATATGGAGTATACTCACAGGCTTCACCTTCAAACCTAAGTTAAACTTCTTCCTTTTTAGCACAAGGCCCAAGATGTGCCCTCACTCCTATGGGGGGGGGGTGATGTGATATCATCTGTTACAGTTTGCTTCTCTCTGGGTCACAGACTTCCCAGACCTGTTGGTATAATCGGTAGCAAAAGGATACAAATAGTTAAAACCCTACTGACTTATCACTTTCTTCTATTAAATCAACCAAAAACTGTTGTCAGATTTGCAGAAGGTTCTGAACCACCTCTTGTCCCAATGAGCTGTTGTACCAGTGCCACCATAAGACAGGTTCAAGGGATTCTATTCAAACCTGTTCACGGTACCGAAGCTCAACAGAGGCATCCTTCCTATTCTGGACTTTAAAATCTGTCAACAATTTCTTTCACATTTCAAATTTGCGAATAGAATCTGCAGGGTCAGTAAATGTCTTTCAGGTCCAAGGTGAACACATGGCATTTGTAAATATCCATAAGATGCCTATGTACGTGTTGTCATTTACCCACCTCATCAGCATTTTCTATACTTTGCAGTGTCAGATGACCACTTCCAGTTCCTCACATTGCCCTTTGGCCTGCTCTCTGTTCTTAAAGTGTTCGCAAATATCTTCGCACCCTTGCTTGCCTTTCTCAAATCAACCTTCTTCTGAAGGATTAATCTCCCTTACAACTCCCAATGAAAGCCCAAAATACAATATATGTGCTTCAGGCCTTTGGCTGGGTAATCAGCTTAAAAAAATATACTTTTCAGCCTTCCTTGCACCGAGTATCTAGGTCTGGTCCTGGATACATCCCTGGCAAAGGTCTTTCTTCCAGAAAATAAATAATTTTTCAAAGGGCTCTTGTTCAACAACTGAGATCCGATAGAAATCCCACGATGAGAGCTCTAGGTTTAGTATTGGTCTCCTATGAGGCAGTACCTTTCAAAACCAATTCCATTCATGAACTCGCTTACTAAACAGCCTGTCAGCTTGGAAGCAGTAGGCTCTTTCCCTGGATTTACCTATGCTCCATTATGCCTAAACATGAAATTCTGTATTCTTGTAAATCACCACTGTGCAAATCCTTCTTCCTCTACAATTGGAAGGTTTTTACAACAACCATGGTCTGTCAGGCTGGGGAGGAGGCTTCCAACACTTGATAGTGCAGGAAACATGGTCTAGAGAAACCACCAAACCCTTCAACATCTCAGAGTTCAGAGCTGCCACGCTGTGCTTCAGCACTGGACCCCCTTTCTAAAAGAACATCAAATTCAGGTGTGGCATGTATGAACAATGGCATATATGAACCATCAAGGAGACATGCGGAGCTTTGCTGCTGCCTTGAAGGAAGCAAATCAGATCCTCTTCTGGACAGAAACCCACTGCTCTGTGGTTTTCTGCAGTCCACATCCCAGGAGTGGGCAACTGGCTGTCAGATTATTTCGGCCATCACTGCTTGAACCAAGGGGAATGGTCTCTTCGTCCAGATGTGTTCATTTTGATATAGCAAAAAAAAGGTACTCCAGATGCAGATATCCTAGCCTCCAAATACAACCACAAACTAATCTCTGTTTGCACCCACAACCAGGGGGGTTCTCTAGCTTTAGCCTTGATTTCCTTAGTTATCACCTGCTCTCATTTAAGGCTAATCCATGCCTTTCCTCCACTGAGCATTTTGCCTCACCTGCTTCACAATAAAGAGCACAAAGAATTTGGTGATTCTTCTGGCACCAAACTGGTCCAGAAGAACTTGCTACACTGACATACTCAGACTTCTTGCAGAAAACCCCTGGCCTCTTCCCAATAGGCCAAATCTGCTATCTCGAAGACCTTTATTCCACCATGCTTCATAGTCCTAGGCAGGAGCGGACTGACAACTCATGGGGCCCCCGGGCAATAGGGGATCATGGGCCCCTGTGTCCTTGCCCAAGCTCAAAAAAGCCTATGAAAAAGGTACCAGGGGCATCTCATGGGGCCCCCTACTGACCCCGGGCCCTCGGGCAGTGTCCGAGTTTCCAAATGGTCAGTCCGCCCCTGGTCCTAGGTCCTAATGGATAGAGGTGAGTCTGTGATTCATACTTTGCTAAAAGGTATGAAAACCAAGGCAGGAATAAAACTTTCTTGCAGGATGATTTATTATAATACCTGGAAATCTTACTTTGCCTGGTGTGAGTGCAGTCAATTCAACCTCAAAGGTTATTTTTTGCCTGGTATTTTGGCCTTCCTAAAAATAGGTCTTGACCAGAGTCTAGCTCTTGGCATCCTTAAAGGGGCAAGGTTTGGCTCTATCCATGTTTTTTCAGAACCCTTGGCTGCTCATTCCCTTTATAAAAAAAGTTTTATTCAAGGTATTTCTCATTATCCGGCAAACTTTACAGCACCCCTTGCTTCCCTGGGACCTTAACTTGGTCCTCTCTGCCTTGCAAAAGCTACCCTGTGAACCCATCAGTAATATTACCTTCGATATTGTTGACAAAGTAACCTTTCAGGTTACCGTCACCTCTGTCAGATATGTCTCTGAACTAGCTGCTTTTTCCTGTAAAGCTCCCTTCCTCGTATTTCACGATGACAAGCACTCAAAGAAAATCTCTCTACATTTCCTGGACATAGTCAGAGCCATTAGAATGTATCTAAAAGCTACTGCTTTTTTACCTGGTGTACCCACAAAGGGCAACCAGCTTTAAAAATCCACCATTGCATGGTGATTGAGTGTGATTGCTAAAGCCTATGCTCTAAAACAAAAACCTCTGCATGAGCTTTTTAAAAGCACACTTCGCCAGATCTGTTGGTGTATCCTGGCCAAAGACAAGCAAACCAACCTAAAGAGACACCAACCTCTGTTGCTCAACTCTAAAGCTGCCACCTGGTCTTCTCTTTATACTTTTTCAAAGTTTTACCAAGTGGATGTCAAGACTTCTGCTGAAGCAGCTTTCAGCAGCAAGGTTCATGCAGTGGCTCTTGGAACCTGCTTTGGACCTGTTTGCACAGCTCTGTTTGTCTAGTAGTTGTCCACTCCTATATTTATTGCTTGGTGATGTTCCATGGTGTGAGAATAAGAATAATAATGCCTGTGTCCTGTACTGTAGATTAAAATCAGAGGAGCTATGAATTGCCTGTACATTCCATATCTTGGTGTACAATGCAGGACACTCTCCTTGTTACTCTGCATTGCTTGCTACAAACGCAAGGATTTACAGTAGAGTAAGGTTATAGGGGAGGCGCTTTAGAGTTACATGTCCTCAAAAGCTTGCCAATGTCAAAATCAACTTGATGTGTGAATGAGATGCCTGTGTTCTGTACTACACTCTAAGATATGAGATTTACAGGGCAAAATTCCTGTTTTTATGCAACACCGAATACATGTAGTTTGATATGTAATCTTGAATTTATTCCACCCCTTCAAGTCTCTATCTACTGCTCTGTCTTTTCCTTTACACTTCCCTTTACTTCCTTCAAGTGCATAGAGTTGGAAAAGGATGTGATAAATTATTTAATGAGCAGAACAGGAAAGCATGCTTTTGTCTTTTTCTGCTGATATGTAATGTCACTTACTCTTGTACAGGACTCGATTCGTCCATATCCACTACAGAGTGGGTGTGAGCTTTTCGAGATGTCTGAACAGAGGGATGAGGAAACGGCTGCGTTTTGTCACATGCTGGATGTGTGAGTTCATTTATATTCACATTAGAAAACAAATGTGTGACGATGAGGCATTGTGTAAAATTATAAATGGTGTTTTTTGGTGTCCTTTATATGTGATGCCCTAGGTTTTAAATAGATTGAAACTTCAGGAAATGTCTTGATAAATTATGATTTTAAATATGGCTTTTACTTGTCAAGAATGGGTCTATAAAAATCTAATAATCTAGCTTTGAATGAGTGGTTGGGGGGCTTAATCAACAACTGGTTTGGTTCTCTTATACAGTAATTCAGTTGTTGAGATGTTTGCATGCAAGCACTGCCTGCTGTAGTTAATATAAATGTGCCCTGCCCAATAGTTTTTTTTTTATATTCTATTTCTGTGAATGCAGCTGCCAGAGTGAGATTCCTCTTATTGCAGTAGGAAGCCTGAGTCCCCAATAAGCAGGTGTAGAGCAGGCATTCTAGCAGGGATGGTTTACCTTACAATCCTTGAGGTATATAAGAGGTCAGAGGTCTATTTATAATCTAGTTTGAGAATCCCTATACTTTAGCAATAAAACAATTTTGCCCAGAATCAAAATTTCTTTACGGGTAGATTCTCAAGTATATGTCATTACCTTTTTTTGAAGTGGTTTTGCACTTATCCATTTTCAATTTCCTATTGCCTTGATAGCTGTTCAGTGCATTGGTATTGGCTAACAATAGTCCTTTCATATAGTCCCCATGCATGCTTCATAAAAATATCTGTTACTGCACAGATATGGAACCATACTGTCCTTATCCATCCTGAACCCCCGACCCATTTAAAAAAAAAGTTTTTTAAAAATATTTTGATGTAAATTTTCAAATGTAATCAAACTGGTAATTTACATTCTTCATTATCCATAATAATCAACTTCTCACTTGCCTCCCACTTTAGTCTACGCTCTTTTCAAAGTCTGACAGACCAATTACAAGCAGGCATTGTCTGGAGTCCAGTTAATCTTAGTCCTGAGCACTTGGGTCCTGGAGTGAGCCTGAAAGTAACCGTGATCATTAATTTCCTAAGGGATCCCCTTACTTTCACCTGTGACTGTAAGTTTATTTCTGATTTTTTTTTTTTTTCCTTTTTACTATGTGAAGTTAAATTATATAAAAATATATATCTTTCATTCATTGAAGTACACAGTGAAAATCTAAAAATCTTGACCACTGGGTTACACTGTCACCTGCTGAAATAGAATGATGGGTACAACGCTCAAAAAACAGCCTAGGGGTGGCCCTGCAGGTGGCCAACCCCCCGTCTGGTGACACGGCTTCTGTTTTTTCTCTAGTGTCAAGGAGTTTGAACATAAGAATCCCTACAGCTAATCTTTTTTTTTCATATAGACTCTGGTAGTCCCCCCCAAACCTGTCAGCGAGATTATGCCATCCCTAGCCATGGCAGGTTCAGCTGTGACAGTTCTCTCCCACGTGCAGAGTAGCTGGTGAGAATTTCTTGGAGAGGTACATATGACCGGCTGCTCCTGACTGCCTAGGCAGAGTGTCTCTCCACAGACTAGAGACACCCTGGTTAAGATGCGTAGCCCCTCTTTTAGCTTTTGTGTGTGCTGTTAGTAGCATACATTTCCTGCTGGGACACATATGGACATCAGTGGGTACAGGTACTTCTATGTAATTTAAAAAAAAATACTTTTTACTATAGCGTTTCCTCCTTCCTTAAACAGGTCACACAAATAGATCATATAGATCTCTATAATGACTTTCAGTATCTGTTACTGGTATACTTCTGTCTTACCATCCAAAGTAGGACCATAACACAAGCAGTGTCCTACCACTACAGCATATGCATGCTTCTGTTAACTCATTAACGTTTACTCAATGCTGTATTAGGATCCATTTAATTGATATGGATAGCAGAATGCTGAAGAATTATGAAGGTTATCAGCCTCTTCTGCCTCCTCCCCCCTCCTCCTCCCCCCCCTCCTCCCCCCCCTCCCCCCCCCCCCTCTCCCCCCCTCCCCCCCCCCTCTCCACCCCCCTCCTTCTCCCCCCCCCCCCCTCCCCCCCTCTCCCCCCCCCCCCCCCTCCCCTCCCCCCCTCCCCCCCCCCCCCCCCCCCCCTCCCCCCCTCCCCCCCCCCCCCCCCCCCATCCCCCCCTCCTCCCCCCCCCCCCCCCCTCTCCCCCCCCCCCCCCCCTCCCCCCCCCCCCCTCCCCCCCCCCCCCCTCCCCCCCCCCCCCCCCCCCCCCCTCCCCCCCCCCCCCCCCCCCCCCCCTCCCCTCCCCCCTCCCTCTCCCTCCCCCTCCCCCCCTCCCCCCCCCCTCCCCCCCCCCCCCCCCCCCCCCCCCCCCCCCCCTCCTCCCCCCTCCCCCCCCCCTCTCCCCCCTCCCCCCTCCCCCCCCCCCCCCCCCCCCCCCCCCCCCCCCCCTCCCTCTCCCCCCCCCCCCCCTCCCCCCCCCTCCCCCCCCCCCCCCCCCCCCCCCCCCCCCCCCCCCCCCCCCCCCCCCCCTCCCCCCCCCCCCCCCCCCCCCCCCCCCCCCTCCCCCCCCCGCCTCCCCCCCCCCCCCCCCCCCCCCCCCCCCCCCCCCCCCCCCCCCCCCCCCCCCCCCCCCCCCCCCCCCCCCCCCCCCCCCCCCCCCTCCCCCCCCCCCCTCCCCCCCCCCCCCCCCCCCCCCCCTCCCCCCCCCCCCCCCCCCCCCCCCCCCCCCCCCCCCCCCCCCCCCCCCCCCCCCCCCCCCCCCCCCCCCCCCCCCCCCCCCCCCCCCCCCCCCCCCCCCCCCCCCCCCCCCCCCCCCCCCCCCCCCCCCCCCCCCCCCCCCCCCCCCCCCCCCCCCCCCCCCCCCCCCCCCCCCCCCCCCCCCCCCCCCCCCCCCCCCCCCCCCCCCCCCCCCCCCCCCCCCCCCCCCCCCCCCCCCCCCCCCCCCCCCCCCCCCCCCCCCCCCCCCCCCCCCCCCCCCCCCCCCCCCCCCCCCCCCCCCCCCCCCCCCCCCCCTCTCCCCCCCCTCCCCCCCCCCCCCCCCCCCCCCCCCCCCCCCCCCCCCCCCCCCCCCCCCCCCCCCCCCCCCCCCCCCCCCCCCCCCCCCCCCCCCCCCCCCCCCCCCCCCCCCCCCCCCCCCCCCCCCCCCCCCCCCCCCCCCCCCCCCCCCCCCCCCCCCCCCCCCCCCCCCCCCCCCCCCCCCCCCCCCCCCCCCCCCCCCCCCCCCCCCCCCCCCCCCCCCCCCCCCCCCCCCCCCCCCCTCCCCCCCCCCCCCCCCCCCCCCCCCCCCCCCCCCCCCCCCCCCCCCCCCCCCCCCCCCCCCCCCCCCCCCCCCCCCCCCCCCCCCCCCCCCCCCTCCCCCCCCCCCCCCCCCCTGTTTCCCCCCCCCCCCCCCCTCCCCCCCCCCCCCCCCCCCCCCCCCCCCCCCCCCCCCCCCCCCCCCCCCTCCCCC